CAGGGCGGGAACAGCTGGGCCTGGCTTTGGTGCTGCCGTTAAATGTTACGAACCTCCCGTTTGCGAAAATAAAAATGTAGGCTGGCGTGTCATCCTTGAAGGGTCTAAATAAGCCAGTGGATTTTTGTTAGCTCATATCCCACGTTGTTAGGCAGCGTGTGGTGGTTAAACAGATAAGAAGGGAGCTCACAGGCGCGTACGTCGGGTTGTAGGTGTTGGTCAGGGCAGGTGTTTCCTATCTGGTTACAACTCCATGAGCACACGGCAGCTTCTCGGCCTGGAGAGGGTGACAACGTTGTCCTGGAATCGAGTGATACGGCGAAATGTGGAGTTTGACTTGTTTCATACCTGTCGATTGAAGTGAATGTGAATTACCTATATGGAAAAAAAAGTAGGTAATCTGTTAATTTAGCCCTAATGGTTAATGCTCTGTGTTTGCTCATGAAGTTGCCAGAATGGAGGTATGGTTAATAAAGATAACTGTGAAAGTCAGTGAAAAGTAGCTCTTTCCCAGGTAATGGTTCTGGCTTACATTTTTGAGTAAAAGTATTTTTGTCTTAAAAGTTAATTTTCAAAAGTGTGTGGTTCTCCTCCTCCACCCCCCAAACAAACAAAACTGGATCCTAAATTAAACCTAAGGAATTACCTTTTCTTTTAAAGCTATTGAAGAGTCAGACAAGTTGTGTATCAGGTGAATGGTACTATGTAAATTCCTTTTCTCATGCTAAATATATATGTACGTTCGTATACATACGTATGGTTCTGATGGATGTTGACCTTAAATGTCCTTAAAAACACTTGGTGAAGGAGATCCCAGGAGATAATTCAGTTATAACTACTGTGTTATTTATGTTTTCTTTGACTGACTCTTCAGTAGGAATGGGAGGTTTTTAGGATGCTTTTTCAGGATTTGTGAAAACCCTGCAAACTCATCAAAATAGTAAGCATGTTCACCTTAGACATCCTGAGTGTGTCAGCTGCTCGTGTTTATATTATTTGGGCAACTCTTGTGTCATGAGCCCACTGCAAAGGAGCATGTTTGACTTACTGTGCATGTACTATCCCACAGGCTAATGCATTAAATTTCACATGAAGAGCTGTATGCTTAGTGCGTACACTCAGAAAATCTGTTTGTGATGTACTGAATCTATTGCTCGTATGCTGGCTAATGTGTGTATGGTTTATAAAATACAGTTGTTTTTTTTAAAGTATTACTGTTTTTCATTATTTTCTAATAGTGATTTGTGATCAGTTCACTAATGAAGTGTAGAGATCTAACGTCTGCTATGTGTGAAATTATAAACAACAGTTACAAAAAGCTGCCAAGTTCTAGGACTGAATTTAGTGTGTTTTTTATGCAGACTACAATAGGTGCTTTCCTGTGCTCCAAATGTTTGCATTCATTTCCGTTCAATTGTTTAAGATGCAAAAAAGTGGTACCTTCAAATTCTTCATAACGCTTTTTTTTTATTGTGTTGCTGTTGTCATGACTCTTCTTCTTGAGCATCTGGAAGATAATTTTTTGAGAATCTGAAATCATGTTCTTACAGAATTTGAAGACACTATTTACTCTCCTAAATTGGAAACTACAATAATTTTTTTCTTGTTTTTCTGTCTTGATAGGGCCACACAGCCAGTGGTGGTTCTTCTTCCTGCTGGATTCATCATGATAACTCCAGCTTTTGAGCTGACCCAGGATCCGGATTTTCTTACAATAATAATCAAAGTACCTTATGCCAGAGCTTCAGAGTTTGACGTGTATTTTGAAGGGGAAGATTTTAAATTTTATGCTAAGCCGTACTTTCTCAGGCAAGTAGTGGAAGGATTTAAAAAAAAATTGAACTTTCTTTACTGACCTTTTTTTTTTTATAATTAACTTCATTTTGGTCCCACCAGAACATTCTTCATCTGCAGCTCTTACACTGTAGACTGCAGACAGCCCATTTTGTGCAAAGAATTGTTTTTATGCATCTGGCCTCTTTGTTTCTATGCATTAAATCATGTTAAAGGGAGTTTAAAGAAATACTTTTCTAAATTTACTTTACAATAGATTTTTAATGGTAAAATGGCGAGACAATTCTCTGGATGTATGCAAGATGTGTAGAATAAGCGTATCTTTTCCCTGTTGAGAGCCGGATACAGTATATTTGGGGAAGAATGGCTTTTGATGCACTCCTGATAACATAAGGGGAGAAAAGTCATGTGAGAGAAGGCAGTATGAAGTGAGATTCTAGACAGTATCTTTTCTCTAGATAGCAAGGTCCTCACTACACTGAAGGAAAGCAACAAGAGGCAATCTCAGTATCAGAGTGTTAAGAGAACCTTAAGAGCTGTTAACGTTTATTATTTTCTGTTTCCTGTACACTTGGACATGCTTCCCCTATATACATTAATAAACCACAAGGGATTTTAGTGGACTGGTAGAATGCAATTAATTGGTTATTCTGAATAAGCTGTACAAGAACTCTGGATGAGTTCTCATATCCTGTCACTGCAGGTTAGCTTAGAGATTTTAAATTGCAGAATCTTCCAAGTGTTGCACATAGTGCCAAGGGCATCATCTCTGTGGTGGCTGTGACCTCATCCAAGCTGGGAAACCGGGAGTCACAGATTTTCTCTATCCTAGATGTTCATCTCTTGTACCAATAGTTAGGGAAAAAGATTTTGAAGTACATGCGGATTTAACTGCGTGACTTCCATTAGTATCAACAGGAGTCATGTAGTTATTCCTTTGTACTACTTTTGGAACGTGCCTTACATTTTTATAGGCTGAGACGTTAAGTTGCAGAATTAGTCAGGCATTCAGTGAGGCATCTGATTTTTTTGCCTGCAGATTGACGCTTCCTGGAAGAATTGTAGAAGATGGCAGAGAAAAAGCATCTTATAATACAGACAAAGGTATTAGTTAATGTTCTTAGTATATGTGTCATTAAAAATGTTACTAACTCTCCAATAATTTATACTTTGCTGCACTGGAATTGCATAGAACTTTAGTGAAATATATGATACTGTAAATAAATGTAAATTTTCTCATATGTTTTGTAGTATAAAAAAATCTTGCTGAGGATTTATTGGACTTATTTAGGCCATCCTTAAGCACAAAGGAGGTGTTCAGATCTGTCCTAATAATGAAAAAAATACGTACAAGTCCTCTTAAAGCCCTGTGGGGACTAGACATGTCATTGTACCAAGATCATTAGTCTAGTAAATCTGCAAAGAAGTCAGGTAGTGCTGAGTAGAAATGAGATAATCCTGAGGCAGCCTCTCGGCTATGTCTTAAGAGATAAGGCGTTAACCTTTTTCCACACCTTAAGGTGGAAGGTATTTCTGCAATAAAATATGTACCTTTTGGAATTAATGTATTCATTAAAAAAAACCAGCAATAAAACCTATAATTTGCTGCTTGCAAAGCCTTTATTACGTGCTTGACTTAAGACAATCAGATTGCTGGATGTGGCTTCCTATGATCTTCTGTTGATTGCTTGATTGGTGGAAAGATTCAAAATCAAATAAAGCTTGTATTCTGTTTGTGTTTATACAATATGAGTCAAGAGACCACAACTGGTTAAATATTCTCTTTCATGCATGCTTTATCATTAAAATCTCTTTGTGAAACTTGTGAAGTAAGGTTAAGAACACGCACAGACATTTATGCATAGTAACATTCTACCTGCACGTGTCCCAGTTTTTGTGAGCCTTTTTCATTAGAGGAAAAATGCATATATTTGTTTGTCTTGGATATTTTAATACAATAACTATATTCTGACTTTTCTTTAAGGAACTTTTACAATTTGGTTACCTAAGGAGATTCCTGGCCAATATTTTGAGGGACTGGACATGCTGACATCTCTTTTAGCACCAAAGAAGTCAAGATCAGCAAAACCTTTAGTAGAAGAGATAGGTATGACAAAAAAAATTATTTATACTAGTGATACATGTACATAATGAAATAGTTATAGATCTACATAGTGATAGACGTAGAAAAATAGTATTTCTATTATTGTCTAATCCAAGGTACAAGAAGAGTGTGAATAAATCTGAAAGTACGGATTAAGTATAAAAATAAATGTGTTGTAGGTGATATACATGTCATCTTTATAGGCTTAGTTATGTGTATGTTTTTCCAAAATGTGCTTAACATATGCTAATCCTCTGTAGGTCTTTGTACCCCTCTAGTGGCTGTATAATACACACACATTTGTTTGAGTCTTCTGCTTTCTACAAGGTAGTGCAACTGGACTTCTAGCTCAAATGGTAGAAGTTAATTAAAGCCACAGATTCTAGTGGATGACTTGCTTAACATCAGTATTTAACAGACAAGAAGGTTTGACTATCTGTGTTTAATTTTTTAATACATATCTTAAATAATTGATAACATCACTTTGCTCCTGTCAAGGTTCTCTTAGCATTAAATTCTGATCTTGTTGAAATCAATGGAACAATTAACTAAGTCTTTGAGTGAGTATACTTAAAACTTTCAGTGTTCCTGGTCTTCATTTTTGACAGCTGGAGAATTTGGAACAGGCCATATGGATTACTGATGTAAGCATCTGCCTCTGTGACCAGTGTTGTATATGATGAGAAAGCCTTATTGTGTTATTAGTGTTTGCCTTTTTATTAAATCATATATATTTTCTACGTAATAATTTTCTTTTTCTGACCATGCAATATATGCAGTTGCATCTGCTGAGTTCTCTGAAGAGGAGGAAGAAGAATTTGACTGGGAAATAGAGCAGACCCCTTACAAAGAAAGCGCAGAAAGTACTCTACCATTACAGTACCGTTATGGATTTGGGAATTTGCGGTCAGGGGTATTCCAGCGGCTGCAGGTAGATGCATTTTTTTCTTGTCCTATTATAAGAGTTCTGTGTAACTTCCTTGTTGAGCAGGCTTCCTGGCTCATTCTGTAGTCAGGAGGGGATCATTAGGTAACTGTTCTTCTCCATTATCCCATTCTGTGACGAAGAATATTCTGCTTTTGCACGTAGTAGTACAGACAAGTCCTTGTTCCAGCAGAAGTAGGGGGGTGTTTGGGACTGAGATAACTGTGTGGCAGAGTCAACTGGCCAGTTTGTCTCTGCAATAATTTCAGTGTTAGAGGAAAACACTGAACAGGGGCCTTGGTAAAACTGGCTTCTGGAAGTGGGCTGCTGTCACCAGCATGGTTCACTAGCATGTGAAGGCACGGAGGAAAGGCCTGATGAAGTAGGCCATGTGTCAGGTGAATAGTTCTGGCAAGCTGCAAACTTGTCTCCAGGCTGTTCACAGTCTGCTGTTAGCACTTTTGCTTTATATTTGGTATTGTCTTCTATTCTGACTTCAAACATATTTAACATCAATGTACAGTGTATTTCAGATGCCATAAATTTTAATTTGTTTTTAAATGAAGAAATTACTCAAAAAAACCCCAAAAACCCACCTCACAAAAAACCCAAAACCAAAATAAAGTTGGCTAATCAATAGGTCCTGTTATGGTTGTTGCATTAAAATTTTTTTCATTGTGAAATTCATGGTAATTTTCTCTTTGTACTTTTTATTTTAGACTTGATTTTCTCATAAGACAATAACTTTTGAAGTGTTCACTCTTGGGGGTGTCTGCCTACCTGGTATCTGGGATTTACTAGGGCTATGGTGATGCACTGAAATTTGCTTTTGTGGATTAATTGATAGGATAGGAGCTTTAAAACGCACTTACTTTGCTCTTGTGCATTCAGCAGTTTCTTTAATTCATTAATAAATTGAAGCTAATCTACAACCTGTAGCATGCTAGGTAGTATAATCATAGTATACAGAGCTGTTATTAAAATAGTACATGATAACTTAATTTTTTGTAGTGTTCTTAGTCTAAACAATTTAAGTTGTAGCTGTTTAAAACAACTTAATTAGGTAATTCTAACTCATTATTGGATGAATTATAGTATTTTCAGGGTTTGGAGCAGAAGGATTGCTGTTTATGGAGAAAGTATTTACATTCTGTTAGGATATATACACTGGTTTATTACCATGAAATTTGTGAAGAAGTACACTTCCCATTAATGTGCCACTACTTAATGATGATTAAATGGGCACTACAGTTGCCCATTAATGAATGTATGGCAACTTCAGAGTGTGAGAGTAATCTCAAAAGTCACAAGAGCAGTATCTATGGTTTTTATCTTGTCATCGTGGTCGTTGTTATTGTGTGCTTTTGTTAAACATTGCAAATTTTGTTGTAATGCAAAATAACCTGCCTGCCTTATGATAAAACGGCCTGAATAGACTTCAAAGTATCATGCATTCTGAGGAGCTTGAAATAATTGAATTTCCTTGGAATTTTGATGTTTTATTTGCAAAATGGAGCCTGAATTTGGAAGATTCGAAAGGGAGATTGAAGAGCAACTAGGGATTTCAGTGTAATGCTGATAAGCATCCTTCCTAAACTCTTACTAAATCTTGCACATCATACCTGTCGGCTTGGTCATAGAATTTTTGTTCCATTTGCAGGACGAACTCAGTGATGTTATTGACATTAAGGATCCAGACCAAACTCCTGTAGATGAACGTAGGAGGAAACGCCTGGCAGCTGAGGATGCCAAGTTTGAGCCTGATCATTACCTGTGAGTATTGTTTTACTTCACCTGGTCAAGTAAAAGTACCTCAGTTGAAATAATATTAACTTTTTGTTTTCATAAATGATTGAATTTGAGATCACTTTTGGAAATAACAGCTTTACTTTTTATTTGTCTGTTTCGTTGCCTCATCACAGCAGGCGTTAGAGTGTATTCTTAAGTGTGACACTGACAGAAGACATTGCTTATCTGTTTTGGGGTTACTGTACTGTTTAATTAGTACTTGAGTCTGTATTCAAGCAGAGGCTGCTGTGAACTGTTGCAGAATGTTGTTTTATAGTTCACCTCTTCAGAGCAGAGTAGCTAATCCCTGCCAGCATTTTGGGTTGTAGATGTCAGAACTTTGTTTTCTCCTTGTGAAACAAGAATTACTGAACCATCCTGGTCTATGAAGAAGTAAATTTGAGTTTTGAAGTTGTGAAGATTTTGTCTTGACTGCTTTGGTTTTTTGCCTTCATCACATGAAACTTTTTTACAGCAGAATGAGGAAAAGTTCAAAACTTTGTGTTTCTTTGTGCTTCGTCCCATGTAATGAAGGTGGAAATGATTCTTTGTGTCTTTCAAGTTGGAGTATTTCAGGTCAAGTTAGGTTCAGAAACTTCCAGATAAGTAAACTAAATTGAAGCCATGAGATCTATTAATACAGTGATTCCTGCAAGATTGATTTGGTGGGAGAAGAGTGTAGTCCCCAGTAGGGAGGGTTAGTATTTGTGGTGTGTTTGTAGGGAAGAGGTAAGCTTAACCGGTTTTGAGTTGTTTCAGAAAGTGTCTTTGCAAACCTGGAATTTTTCCCCAGTCTGGTGTTTCAGAGGCAGCTGCGTGTGTTTCTGTAGCACATAAAATGTAGAAAAACTTCCTTGAAACATTACTCAGAAGTACATTTCAGTAGAACTGAAGTAGTTCCTAACCTATAATGGGATGCAAATTACAGTAATGGTAAGTTTCCATCTTAGACTCCCTGTTCTAGCCTGGCAGATGAGCTACCACCATTTAGTTTAATGGTTGTGTTTAGGATGCTTCAGAACAGATGATACCAAAGTTTCTTCAAGAAAAAATGTCTTCCTGTGTACCCTGATGAGCAGGACAGCTCTGGGAGAAATGGTGGCAAACAGAAGTGTTCTCTTGCCTTTGAGGAAAATGTGCACTCGCTGATATCTTTAACTTGCTTTATGAAGACACTGAAGGAAGGCATCAAAAATCTGTCAGAGTGGAGCAAATTATGTTCTGTGTTCAGTAGACTGGGCAGGTTTTGTATGATGATTAAGAAGGTATTAAGAAATTTTCTACATTTTTTTCAGTTCTTAGTACTTATACTATTGTTTGGCCTGAAGAAAAAGCTAAAATGATAAGAGGAGGCTTAGAACTTGAATCCTTTAGTATAAATCCTCCCAGAATTACTATATTGAGATTTTTACCACAGTGGCTTTGTACCGAGAGGGAGATAATCTCTCTTCCAGTATTCATGCACAACTCTTCTTTTTCTACCTTGCTACGGCATGCTTGTGTTTACCTAAAAGGCAGTCCTTATCCCTACTTTATCTTCATACCTTCAGCTGCATACCCCTCCTCCCCAAAGTATATGCGGTTTTAAAGTCAGAGAGCTTCCTATTAAAATCAAGTTTGCTGGCAGTGACATTCTCTGAGAAGTCTTCTCTTTGGAATGTTTTCCTTTAGATTCATCCAGAACAAATCAGGTTTGTTAACCTTCATGTCATGCTGCAAGCTCATCAGTTTTCTAGGCTTCTAGGTGGCTCAGAAAAGGTGGAGGAAATAAGGAAGGATACTGTAAGATAAGAGAATATTGTTTATGCTTTTAATAATGTTTATTTTCTGGCTTTAAGTCAAAGAACATATTTCTAATGGAAAATAGCCTGGAGCCAAGTCAGGTGTGTTCTATGTATGCATTAAAATATACCCACATACACTGTAACTGAAATAAATAGCATATGATTTTTTTTTTTTTCCCCCTAGAGCTGATTTATTTGAAGATGAAGCTATTCAGCATGTTTTAAAGTACAAACCATGGTGGGTTGATGCTCATAAAAAAATGACAGCCTTGCAGGGAGAAAGTCATCAGGAACATGACACTCATACATTTGGTGAGAATATACATATATATATATATACACACACACACACTTGTTGCTTGAATGATAATTGCTGTGATGCCATGTTATTTTCTAGGTAACTGTTCGTAAAGAACAAAGATGGTTTTACGTTACTATTTTCAGTTTTAATCATTCTTCATAGAGGAGTATTCTGTTACTACTTCTGTCCTCAAAGAAAATTTTTTTCTCTGTGAGACAGTTAGATACCGAAAACTCAGAGACAGTTGTGTGTGGAACAGTTGACAGTATATTATAAAGTGGTCATTTCATCTTAACTTTCCATCAGTTGTGTAGTGTGTGATCTCTTTTTCATATGCATAACAAATTTGGGAGTTAACTGTTCGTAAAGGCCATTCTAGAATTTCAGGTATCGATGAAGTAGTTCCCTTTTAAGGGTATGCTATAAATGTAATCTTTAACATTTCAAAGGAGCTACTACTGTCACTAAGTCATGGCATCTGAAATCAAATCAAACCTATCTTTGTGAAGTGATTGTAATAGCTAGAAGTTGGGTCCTTTGGTGCTTATCTGCTTTTTTTTTTTTCAGATTTTTCAAGTAACTGTTCTCCATTTCCTAGTGGTATTTTCAATGGCAAAAATAGTCAAAACTGTTTTTTATGTCCACTTCTAAATATGGTGCAGACACTTCACAGCAAGTTTTCCAAGACTCAGCTATGGAAGACTGCGCTAATATCAGCCCTTATCTCTGTTTTACGAGCATGTCTTCTGTTCAATGTTTTATTTTATTTACATAGTACCACAGAAATTTTGTGGCATTTATTACACTACTGTTATTTTTATGGGTCTTGGAGGCTTTTTTCAAAGAAAAATCTTTGTGTCCATTTAGAAATGAAAAGGGATGGTTTCAGGTTTAATAGATGACCTTGTAACAGGACTGTTAACAGATAACTGAGATTACCTTTCTAGACGCAGTGATTGCAGAGAGCATTACAAGTTACTATTATGTGTAGTCCTTTATTGTCCTTTGTTAATTTCCTATGTAGTATGAAAATCCGATATTAGTAAAGTAGATAATGATAATCCCTTCACCAGAGGTTCTTAACAAATATTAGTGCACTAATAATACCTGCACTTTCGCATTTTCTACAGGAGAAGAACAATGGAATTCAGGTAAATGTTGTGTATTTTACTGTGAATGTAATCTGATCTTCATTACTGGTCTCTTTTCAGCCTCTGAAGCCAGAAATTGTTAATTATATCCATCATAAGCATTGGACAAAGGTACAAGAGGCTTGAAAATAGAATAATGAGAGGTTCTTTTGTTTGTTTTTATCCATTTACTCCTTAGTAAATGAAACACTGCTAATGTTTGCCTGTGTTAAGGAATATAATGAAAATGAAGAGCTGCTGGATGATTTTATTGATAAAGAATATTTTTACAACAAATTGAGATTCTGAAAAAAACCCCCCACCAAAGTACGTTGCTGGTTTTTAGGGACAACAACAACAACAGACAAACTATTTGAAAGCATGGCAAGCCTACTAATGAAAGTTATGCAGAAAATGTTATAATAGATATATATTTAATAAGGATGTTAAAACATTAGTCTGACCTTTGTTGGTCTGAGTGAAGAGGCTCGTGTAGTTTTGTGGATCTTGAGGAAATGTAAGTAAAATAAGAGGCCACCTGGTGTTTGGGTTACGTTAATGACAACAACCCACTTTTTCCCTTAGAAAGACCTCAGTTTTGATAATGTTACTGCTGTTTGAATGGCCACAGCAACTGGGGATGGCAAGAAGCTGAATGAGAATCTGAAACCATTGGAGGTTCCTAAACCTGAGTGAGCTGTGGTGAAAGAAACCACCATGAGAGGGAGTACAGGTTCCACTTGAAGGTCTCTCACGAATGGAAATACAAAAGGGCAGGAGGTGGGTCCAGGCTGTTGGACCTGGGATCTGATCATCAATGGGATGAATTCCCTGTGGTTTTGTATTGCTTTTATCCAATCAAAGGGATGGTCTGGCTAATCTGAGTTACAGATTCAGGAATTCTTAGAAGCTGAATGCAATTTGACTGCATATCTGCATTAATATATATTCCAGTATGTATGCTTAGTAAGTGGAGGCGACATAGAAAAGGCACATAAAAGAAACAAGGACTGTGCTAAGTGAAAGACCTTCTTTACTACTTGAGAAATTTTATGTTATCTCCACTAGAACTGAGGAGAAGTCTGACTGTATTAAGCCAAGGTGTGCTATACAGCTGGAAGGATAAGGAGTCTGTCATTGGTATTAGTGTTCTTGTAGTAAGAAGCCTTTGAACACTAGTGCTTAGCTGTAAAAAGCCAAAGGGTACTTGAGCACAGAAGCTCTAGGGGCACAAACGTTATACGTATTGTAGTATGTTTCAAGGTATTTTATGAAGTGATGTGTAGTGAGTCTTTGAGCTTCTGTATGCATGTATTCCCCTGCAGGTAGGTGTGAGGTCAAACTTTTTTTAATAAAGGTCAGGTACAAATGTCCTCTGTTTACTTTTGAACCTGTTTAAGGGCATAAAGGAAGAGAAGGATTGAAACCTTCATGCAGTTTCTTTCTATTGCTTATGGAAAAGAGGCATAAAATGAAGAGTACCCAGATTTATTTTCTCTTCCCAAGTTCCAAATTCGTGTCTTGTGTTAAGGAAAGCATCTAAAATAAGGTAATTTCCATAACCTTCCATGATGAGTACTTCCAAGCATACAGTCTGTAAAGAGACTTGAAATACTGGGGTGTATAAAATCTGTACAGCTCGTGGTAGGTGTACTGCCACGGCCAGCTTGCAGAAACATTTGTCTGTCCAACGTGAAAGAAGGTTATGTTCTTGATTAAATGTGCAGTCCAAAGCCACTACCAAAGAACGTGGAAACAGATATGATGGAGATCGCCGCTGTTGGATGTGCAGCATCTCGTACTGGGGAAGTCTGCTACCCTCAAACATGAAATGGTGTATCTTCTTAGAGGGTTGTTCATTGAAGGTAAATGACTTGGGTAAGGCAAGAAGGTAGGAATGGTAGTGTTAAAATTGATGGTAGATTACAGTACAGGCTACCACAATATTGAGGTATTGGCACTACAGTTTGACACCTGGTACCTTTAGAGTCCCTGTATTTTGTGCTCTGTTACTGCTACCATTAGGACAGTTCCCATCTACACAGTGTCTGTGGGATCAGGAATGTCATGAGGAACTGACTCCTCAAGTTACTACAGGGAAAAGTGAGTTTGGTGTGGGGAAAGTGACATAAAAATTAGCAGATTCTTTAAAAGTGTATTTTCTTATTCGGACACACGGAACCAAGAGAGTTATTTTTTTTGTTTCTTCCTTTTAATGATTTATATTGATGTCCTTTTGTGTTTTTATCTTCATTGGTTTCTTGGAACCAAAAACTTGATTACTTTTGTCTTTATAATGTCTTTGGCTACAAGGAGTAATTAGAAAAACAGTGCCTTTTTTTTTTTTTTTTTGCATGGCATTACAATTAACTAAAGATTTTGTTTGGTTGATTACTACTCTTACTATCATCCCTGGTTATTCTCTTTTCTTTTTACATCATCAGGTTTTTTTAATGTCTCATTACCAGATTTTTTTTCTTTTTGGATCAGCTCTTCTCATTAACATTTAACGTCTTCAGCTCTCTTCTGTCCTTACCTTGAATCTATTTTTATTTAACCTTTTTACTTTTTCTCCAGCTTGTGTGCATGGTGTATTTTGTCTTTTTTTTAATTTCTTCTTTTATTGTCCTAAGTGTCTCTTCTTTGTTTTGTCCTTTTTTTACATTTTGCTGTGTATTGTCTCTCCTTGCCCTTTGTAGGTTTTTTTTGTTTGTTTATTTTCCCCCTAGACTTGTTAGCCACCAGGCAGCTAACTGCCTTTGCAGTATGGCTGAGGAACCAGAAGAAGTACTAGAGAGCAGGTTTTGCATCATGTTTGTAGCAAAATAATATTTTTGGAGCAGACACTTCTAAACTGGAAGGCCTAGATTTTGTTCATGCTTACAGTGTCTAATGTAAGTCGAGTAATACTCCGTAAAGCCTAATTAATTACACAGCCTTTCCCACGAGGGAATAAAACTTTTGGAAAGCTTGCTTTCTACTGCTGCTGAAGTTTACATTAGAGTCTTGCTTCTACACATTCCAGATGAAAGGAGTATTTTGTAACAGTCACATTCAACTTAGTTAAAAGTTAATTTTTATTCTACTTCAAACTGCACAACTGTAAAAACTCCTTTTTAGGCAACACAGTACTCTTCAAAGGCTCAGATTGACATATGTGTTTAATATGACATTTATTTGCTCTAGGGATAATTTTGTTTATGGTAACCCATCATGCTTACCAGTGACCATTCTCTCTTTCTGATCTCTTTATAAAATGAGAAGCAATTTCTTTTTAAAGATCCACCTTTCAGTAGCTTCAGTAGCTCTGCTTAATATATACCACTACTGGTAGATTCCTAAGTTTAAGATCAATCACTTTTCTTTTTTGTCAGATTTCTGCAATTGTTCTGTCTACCTGTTTCAGTCTTCTGGGCCTTTGCAGTATGTGTACCTTCCTGGCACTGTTCTGCTGCAGAGCAAGTATTTTTCATGTGAGGAAAGGCTGCTGTTTATTCATGCAAAATCCTTAACATGAAAATGATAGATCTGTATTGTAAAGTATCTCAAATATTTAGTAAGACATGGAAGAAAGAATCATGTATGGTTTTGGTATGGTTTATAGGGACTGCAGATTATTTAAAAAATAATGACAAAAAATAGTATAAAGTAAATGGTGAGATCCAGGAAAGACTATCCAAGTCCAGTGACTTTATGGAGAGTGCCTGGAGGAAGAAGGTGAGAGGTGATATGGAGGAAATGGGCTGCAAATGTTGATTTGAGAATTGAGAAAAGTGGAAACTTGACATGGAAGAAAAGATAGTTGTGAAGGAGCTAGAATTTGAATGGAAGAATTGTAAAGAAAGGAGAGGGATGAACACACCAGTCTTGACTCATCATAG